GTGAGATGGATTGACTCAGTGACAGCAACAATGGGCTCAAACATAACAACAGTTGTGAGGATGACGCAGGACTGGATAGTGTTTTGTTCTGTGGTACATAGTATCGCTGTGAGTCAGAACTGACTCACACACACACAAAGTTATCCATGAATGATACACTGCCCACAGCATATACCTATGTATAATTTTTGTTTATGTAAAAAGTAACATCATGTAAAAAGGATCTTGTATTTATTTTTAATTCAGCACTATCCATGATGATACACACACCTTTGGCTGGTTGGTTATGTGATATGAAGCAGTTTCCGACTCACAGCAAGCCTGTATATGATTTTCAAGTCTGTAAATCTTTACGGGAGCAGAAAGCCTCACCTTTCTCCCGAGGAACAGCTGGTAGTTTTGAACTGCTGACCCTGAGGTCAGCAGCCCAACCTGTAATCACTACGCTACCAGAGGTTTTTGATACATAGACCTAGTTCATCCCTTTTCCTGTTATACAGAATTATAACACATTATATATGCAGTTCTTTATTGATAGATATTTATGTTACTTCTAATTTTTTGCTACTATAAAGAGGATATGGAGGCTTGGCTGAAAAAGAGGTACACAGGAGGAGATCTCACAGTCCTCAACCTCAGAGCCTATTACACAGCCATAGGTGTCAAATCAGTCTGCTACTAGTACAATGACAGACACAGACGAATGGACAAGAATTGAGAACTCAGAAGTACATTCATTACCTATGAACAGCTGATCGTCAAACAAAGGGTTAAACTCCATTAAATGGGGAAAAGAAAGTCTCTTTAACAAATGGTGTTAGCAAAACTGGATTATCTTTTTGCAGAAAAATGAGGCATGATCCATACCTCACATCATACTTAAAGAACGAACTCAAAATGGATCAAAGGCCTAAAAGTAAAACCCAACACTATAAAGATTATGGAAGAAAAAAATAGGGATAACGCTGGGGTGGCCCTGATACATTTCATAAAGAGCATACCAAACATAGCCGAAAACGCACAGACAACAGAAGGCAAATTAGATAGCTGGGATCTCCTGAAAAGCAAAACTTATGCTCATCAAAAGACTTCTAAAAGAATAAAAAGAAAGCCTACAGATGGGGGTGGGGTGGGGGGAATTAGCTATGGTTTAGCCAACAAGGGTCTAATCTTTAAAATCTATGGAAAACTTTAACATCTCAACAAAAAAAAGGCAGCAATCAATTTAAAAATAAGCAAAAGACATGAACAGAGATTCAGGCAGCTAATAAATTAATGAAAAGATGGTCACAATCATTAGTCACTGTTGTTAGGTGCCAGAGAGTCAGTTCTGACTCACAGCGATACTATGCACCACAGAACAAAACACTATCCAGTCCTGCGTCATCCTCACAACTGTTGTTATGTTTGAGCCCATTGTTGCTGTCACTGAGTCAATCCATCTCACTGAGGACCTTCCTCTTTTTCATTGACCTACCAGTTTACCAAGCACATGCCTTTTGCTAAGGACTGGTCGCTCTTGACAACATGTCCAAAGTATGAAAGACTAAGTCTTCCCACACCCTCACTTCTAAGGAACATTCCAGCTGTACTTCTTTCAAGACAGATGTATTTATTGTTCTGACAGTTCACATACATACACATACATAGGTAGGATTGTGCATATGTGCTACATACATACTTGCAAATGCTGTACATATTATATACATATCGACAACAGAGCATATAGGGGGCAAGTTATAGAAACTTCTTAGATACTAGGACTGAACCACTGGATCAGAAAGCTAAGGACCTCACGGGGACAGCTCAGTCAAGCGGCAAAACACAACTCATAAAGAAAATGTTTTACATCTTAGTCTGATGAGTAGTGTCTGGGGCTTAAAAAGCTTGCAAGTTGGTTATACAAGAAACAACTATTAGTCTCTTTCCAACTGGGGCAAAGGAGAAGGAAGAAAAACAAGACTCAGGGAGGCAATTAGTCTAAAGGAGTAATGACCCACATGAACCACTGTTGTGAAGAATCACTGGGTGAATTCCAACTCAGTATAGGGTTTCCAAGGAGCAGCTGGTGAGTTTGAACAGCCATCCTTGCGGTTAATAGTCTAGTGTGCTTATCTTAAAGCGTCACAGCAGGACCTACTTTAATCTTAGACCAGAACTAGATGGTGCCTTACTAGTGTGAAAGAGACTGGAGGAATCGCCTCCCCTCAAGATTATTGCCCGAAAACAACCTTCTTTCTGGAAACTGAGATACTCCCAGAGGCTACCTTTCAGCACAATAGCAGACAAGACTCTCAAACAAAAATCCTGAGGGGCATTGTGGGTTAATGCACTGGACTGCACAAGCAATTTGAACTGCAAACTTGGCAGTTCAAACTCACCTGTTCAAACTCACCAGCCCCTCCTCAGAAACCCTATACAGGGTTGCCATAGGTCGGAACTGACTCTATGGCACTTAAAGGTGTAAAAGCATGGGGAGGCAAGTATCATAGGATGAGCACCCAGGGAATCATTTACATGTGACATCCTTATTGGCCTAGCCCTCTACATCTGTCTGTAGCAGCAGAAATGAGGATACAGTATTACATTGTCTTATGACAGTGGTCTCTCCTAATGTGTCCTTACAGCAGCACGTTCAGCTGGAAGACACACATACCCTTTATTCTGACTTAACGTTTATACTCACACCAAGCATATCCACCCATGGGAACTGCATTGGATCCATAGCTTTCAGCATGGAGGTGTTCCATGATAGACTTATGTGTACAGATGCTTAATAATGTTACTATGCTTTCTCTGTTGTCTAACCTCTTCCCTACAGGGCATCTTCAACCAGTTTCAGTGCAGTAGTGAAAAAGTGCTTCCATCTGACACTCTCCGCAGTGCTCTGGCAAAGACTTTCCAGGATGAACAGCGTTTCCAGCTGGGAATTATGGATGATGCTGCGGAGTGCTTTGTAAGTACTTGGCCTCTGGCCCCCTTGGCTATGGAGTGGTACTGTTGATAGTCGCCATCAGGAACTGGCTACTTTCCCATGAAATTTACTGTGCCCTGATCTCTTCTACATAAGGAATGTTTCTGACTTCTTAGAACTCTAGAGTGTTTCTGCTATTGTAGAGTGAACTACTTAGTGGGTTTATGCGTCATCATGCTTAGGGGAGCTAGTGCTCGCCACTATACAACAGCAGCACGGACCTTTTGAGTAATCCAAGCTCATAAAAACACAAATTTATGGGCTTCACCCTCTTGAGTTTCTGATTTACTAGGTTTGGAGTAGGGTTCAAGAATACCCATTTCTAACTAGTTCGTGGGTGATACTGATGTTGCTGGTCTGGGGACCACACTTTGAGAACTCTGCATTATTAAAGGTAATTTAAAAGGGAGTAACTGAGCCCTCAACACATGTATGATGAGCTGTTTAGGCCTTGACATTCCCCGCTGTCTTTCAGTAGAAGACCCTGGCTCTTCTGAATGCTAGCGCCTGTCTGACACCTTTTAAAAGACCCTCTCTATGTGACCATTCAGAAAGTCTGAGAGTGACATACATCCCATTACAAAGTACAATGTGGGCCAAAATCAGAGGTACTCTTGAGAAACTAGGTCGTGGGTATATTTCTGCCAGAGCAATAAGAAGGTACATTTTACTCTGGAAAACAGCTTGACAGTTGCTTACAAAACTAAAGATACCTACCTACCATGCAACCCAGCAATGGAACTCTTGGGCATTTGTCCCAGACAAATGAACACATATGTTTATACAAAAAAACCCACACATGAATGTTCATAAAAGCTTTTTCGTAATAACCAGAAGCTGGAAACAATCCATATGTCCTTTAGTGGGCATACAGTTAAGTAAATCTATACACAGAGTTTGGTAGCATAGTGGTTGTAAGTCAGGCTGCTAATCTCACGGTCAGCAGTTCAAAACTACCAGAGGTTCTGCAGGAGAAAAATGAGGCTTCTTGCTCCCATAATGATTTACAGCCTTGGAAATCCTATACAGGGTTGCTATGGGTCGGAATCAACTCCACAGCACACTACTAGCCCCACCATACCATGGAATACTATGTAGCAATAAAAAGGAATGGATTATTTATACACACAAAAGTTTAGTTGGATCTTAAGGGAATTATGTTGAGTGAAAAGATCAATATCAAACAGTTTTGCATGATTCCAGTTATATTTTCAGAATAACAAAATTTTAGAGAAGAAAAACAGATGAGTGGTCTCAGGGATTAGGGACTGTGGTTGGGTAGCTATAGTGGAATAGCATGAGGGAGTCTCATCGTGCTGGAACAGGTATGTATCGTCACTGCTGTGATAGTTACATAAATCTATCTGTGTGATAAAGGAGCTCTGGTAGCATAGTGGTTACGAATCGGGCTGTGAACCACAAGGTCAGCAGTTTGAAACTACCAGCTGTTCCGCAGGAGAAAGATGAGATTTTCTGCTCCTGTAAAGATTTACAGCCTCAGAAACCTTGTACAGGATCGCTATGTATCGGAACCAACTCCATGGCACATAACCACCACCACCATATGTGTGATAAAAATGTATAGAGCTACACACACAAATAAGTACTTGTAAAACTAGTGAAATCCGAATAAACTGTGGCTTGTATTGTTGCCTGCATTTCCTAGTTTTGATTTTGTATTGTAGTTATGTAAGATGTTCCCGCTGAAACTAAGTGAAGGGTCATGGGACCGCCAAATACTTTTTTTTTTTTTTACAGCTTCATGTTTTAAAATATGAAAAAAAAAATTTTTTTTAATTAAAAAAAAAAAGTTTGAAAATTAAAGTTATACTTTCTTTCCAGGAAGGTTGGGTCTCTTTCTCTGAATACAGTGATTACCAGTTTGTATATTTGTGTGTTGAGTGACAGTCTTCTACTGCTTTTGTTCTTTCTCTGTCAGGAAAACCTCCTGATGAGACTTCACTTCCATATTGCTGATGAAACCAAAGAGGATATATGTACTGCTCCACATTGCATCTCTCACCAGAAATTTGCAATGACGTTGTTTGAGCAGGTGAACCCTATCTCTTTCCCTGTCTCTTCTTTGACCTTTAATTCAGGCACACGTTATCTTGGGGTGTGGGTGTCAAGTAGGTGCCAGAAGAGTTCATGATTATGGTTCCTCCATTTTGCTTTTCCCTCCCTGGACCCAGTGTGTCTGTACGAGCTGTGGCGCCACTTCAGACCCCCTGCCTTTCATCCAGATGGTACACTACATCTCCACCACTTCCCTTTGGTGAGTCTCACAACGCTGTCCTGTCTGTCCCCAGAGGGACTCAGCCAGTTGATGGTTCTCTGTTTTTTTCCCCAGTTGATTGGGTTTTAACTGAAGGCACCCAAATAGCTTATTGTTAAGTCTATACTATATGGTAGGAACCCTGAAAAATAGTAATAACCTTTGTCCTTCTTATTTTCTCTCCTACCCCTCCTATTTCTAAAGCTCATTTCTTGTCAAGAAAGTAATAGGGAAAATAGTATGCATTTTGAGTCCTGGAACATACAGAAGCAGTCCCTGTTTTTGTGGGACATTGAGTCAAAGCAAGGGACTTTGGTATAGTGGGCACAGGAAGAAAGTCAAGCATGCAAGTTAGGAGTTTGCGTGAATCATCCATTTGATGTAGCTGTAACTTTCATTCCCTTTTTATTCTCTATCTTGAAGCAATCAGGCTATTTGTATGTTGGAAAGACGAGAAAAACCTTCACCAAGTATGTTTGGGGAACTGCTACAGAACGCCAGCACCATGGGGGATCTGCGGAACTGCCCTGTGAGTTATGTCTGAAGTGGGGATTCGAGTGGGAAGGGGAGTCCTGGCGTCAGTGGATCTGAGGCAGAGCCAGTGGGAAACACGTGAAACTCACCTTCTACATGTATTTCAGAGCAACTGTGGAGAGAGAATCCGTATTCGCCGAGTATTGATGAACGCTCCCCAGATTCTCACAATTGGGCTGGTATGGGATTCTGACCACTCAGACTTGGCAGAGGATGTCGTCCACAGCCTTGGCACCTGCCTTAAGCTGGGTGATGTGAGTATTAGTTACCTTTTCACTGACACACATTTCTTGTGTCTTGGTAATCACTCATGGATAGTGACCATTGAACAGAAAAGTATATCCTACATGACAAATATGAAGAATTTTGGGCAGATCTACAAATGTATATGTATATGTATACACATGCATGGGAACGCATGTACATGGGTAGGTGGCAAAGATTTTTTAGAAGAAATAGGATAACCTTATCCTTCAAGGAAAGGATTAACAGTTCAACTACTAATAAAAATCTGTCAATTTATTAACAGAGGCATCGTGTGCTCTGCTCACTGTCGTTTCTACCAGTGTAGAGTTGGTGTTCCAGTGCTGTCGAGTTGGTTCCAACTCACAGCAACCCTGTTTCCACAGAGTGGCTGGTGGGTTTGAACCACCCACCTTGCACTTCAAACAGACCTTGTGGTCCAATGCTTTATCCTATAGCACCACACACAGGAGATTTACTTAGCCAAGGGAGGTTAGTAATACCACGGAGCTGCTACTGGAGTGAAAAAGTTCAAGAATATGAGATTCACCATTAGAAGAAACAACTGTGTTTCTCATCACTAAGCAGGTGATGAAACAGCTTGGAAGAGAATTTAGTAGTTTCTGTGACTCCTGGTGTGGCACTGTTGGATCAGCACTGTGAAGTACAGGTCAACAGTTCAGACCCACCAGCCACTTCTTGGAAACCCTATAAAGGGTCATTATGAGTCAGAACCAATTTGACGGTACGTAACAACAACGACTCCATTTAGGGAAATGTTGTTGTTGTTTGGTGCCCTTAAGTTGATTCCAAGTCATAATGACCCTGTGCACAACAAAACTAAACACTGCCTGAGTTGCCCAGTCTTGCGGCGACTTGCTGCTTGAGCCCCATCTTGCTACCACCATGTCAATCCATCTTCTTGGGCATCTTCCTCTTTTTCAGTGACCCTCCACTTTACCATGATGTCTTTCTTCAGAGACTGGTGCCTCCTGACAGCATATCCATAGGATGAGAAATGAAGTATCACCATCTTTGCTTATAAGGAGCATTCTTGCTGTACTTCTAAGACATATTTGTTTGATCTTGTGTCAGTCCATGATACTTTGAATATTCTTCTCCAGCACCATAATTCTGGTGCATCGATAATTCTATGGTCTTCCTTATTCTAACTTGTCTAACTTCACATGCATATGAGGCGATTGAAAGTACCTTGGCTTAAGTCAGGTACAACTTAGTCCTCAAACTGATATCTTTACATTTGAACACTAAAGTTTGCAGCTTATTTGCCTAATGAAATGAATATGTTGTTTGATTTCTTGACTGCTGCTTCCATGAGCATTCATTGTAGATCCAAGCAAAATGTGTAGTCTTTGACAACTTCAGTCTTTTCTCCATTTATCATGGTCCAGTTGTGAGGGTTTTTGTTTTCTTTACATTGAGGTGTAATCCATACTTAAAGGCTGTCTTTTTTGATCATCAGTAAGTATTTTAAGTCCTCTTCAGTTCCAGCAAGTAAGGTTGTGTCATTTGTATATTGCAGTCTGTTACTGAGTTTTCCTCCAGTCCTGATGTCCTGTTCTTCTTTATATAATCCATCTTCTTGGATTATTTACTAAACATACAAACTGAGTAAGTTTCATAAAAGGATACACCCATGACACACACCTTTTCTTGTTTTAAAACATTCAGTATCCTCTTGTTCTATTCTAATGACTACCTCTTGGTCTATGTACAATTTAAGTATTCTGGAATTTCCATTCTTTAAAATGTTATCAATAGTTTGTTATGATCTGCCTATTGGAAAGTCTTTATATAGTTAATAAAACATACACAAACATCTTTCTTGGCTTTGAACCAAGATTCATCGGTTGTCAGCAATGATAGCCCTCTTTCCATGTCTTCTTCTGAATCTGGCAATTCCCTGTTGATGCATTGTTGCAATATTTTTAAATTATCTAAAGGAAAAGAGGAAGACCCCAATGAGATGGATTGGCACAGCAGCAGTGGGCTCAAGTATGACAACGATTGTGAGGTTGGTGCAGGAATGGCACTGTTTTGTTGTGTTGAACGTAAAGTCTCTTTGAGTTAGTACCAACTTGATGGCACCTAACAACAAGGAAAATGTTAATTGCATTATGATGTTAATGATATTGTTTGATGATTTCCACATTCTGTTAGGTCACCTCTCTTTGGGTTGGGCATAAATATGGATTTCTTCCAATCAGTTGTCCAGGTAGCTCTCTTCCAAATTTCTTGGCAGTGCTGCATCACTAGGTTGAAAGGTTTCCGTTTGTATTCATTCCATCAATTCCTGGAGCTTTGTTTTTAGCCAATCTCTTTATTCAACTTGGACTTCTTCCTTCAGTACCATCAATTCTTACTCATATGCTCCCTTTTTATCTAAAAAAAGTTTTTATTGTGAACTGAGTGATAGTTTACATGGGGGAATATTGGTTTTATACCATCATTTCGTTGCAATGATTACAGTGTCCTCCTTGCATCATCACTGAACAGTATTTGCGTTCATTCCCTCTACTTTTTTTGGGGGGATGTACACAAAAACACTCAGGAATATATAATAATGTAAGCAACCAAAGGGTACATTCTGCAAGCCTGCCTCCTGGCCATCAGCACCCAGTCCCTCTCATATTTCCATGAGTCCAGAGTCCTCAGGCTGCTCCCTCCCTCCATGTTCTCATCTCTGTCTCCATCTCTGATGTCATTACTCCTCTGGATAGGGTCCCATATTCTGCTTGTACTCATCTCCCTTGATGGGCTTAAGAGTCCTCTGTTTCTGGACTGTAAGATTAACTACTCACCCCTTTATGTTACAAAACTTCTATCTTTACAGTTGTGAGTCTCAATTAGTCATGATAATAGTTACTCACTATTGAATCATAAGAATCTTATCCCCATCTCTTTTCACCAGACCCCTCTAGACAAGATGAAAACTCTTCAATAGGGACTCAACCTTCCCCTGCACACTCTTAAACTAAATTTCCTCTTGAAAACCAGTCACTTTGTGCCTTTATCAGCCCCTCATTATAGGTAGCCATTGTCTAAGCTGCTTGTTCCTATCTACCCTGTATAGAGGGGATAGGATTGATACTTGATGTGAAGACTCCTTCCCTCTCAATTGGTATTTTGAGCTACTGCATCCATAAGTATAGGTCTAGTTCATCGAATTGTAGCAATTTACCCTCATTTCCTTTATCCAAAATTGTTGGTTTTTAAAAAAAATCTTCTAGTTGAATTTAGATTATCAAGCCATCAAGGCTAGGTCAAATAGGTACTATCTGCAAGTTTGGATATTTTGTGCGTCTCCCCTCACTTCATATCAGCTGGATGCTTCACTCTCAGCTCTAGCTCTCTGTGGCTATGTCCTTGTCCATAAGCTCACCACACTTTGGACCAACCAGCTCTTCCTTGTCTCTCATCTCCAAGCCAACAGGAGTCTATGGAATGTGGCTGAACTCAGCCCATTTCTTCATTGCTGCCTTTCCCCCTCTTCCACTCAGAAGTAGACCAATGTGGTCTCCAGAAAGCTTGCATGCCTGCTCATGTGTTCCCTTTGAGTTTCAGTCTCGTAGGGGGGTTTGTCCTGAAGGGATCTGATTGCTTGTCTCGATGGCTTCCCAGTGAACAAATTGCTTGTTCTTGTAGTAGCCAATCAATCATATGATACCTATTGAAATGGTTGTGCATTGACCATTTCATTTTGGCATAGTGACTCTGTGTATTCCTTCTATCTTCTTTTGATGCATCTTACGTCATTTAGTATTTTGCCTGTTGTTGTTAAGTGCCATTGAGCCGGTTCTGATTCACAGCAACCCCATATAAGGTTTCCAAGGCTTTTAATCTTCATGGGAGTAGAAAGCCTCATCTTTATCCTACAGAGTAACTGTCATGCTTGAGCCACAGACCTTGTGGTTCGCAATCCAGTGCTTATCATATGGAGCCACCACACACGCATTTTGCCCCTAGAATCTTTCATTATTTCAAGTTGAGGCTTGAAGATTTTCTTCAGTTCTTTTAGCTTGAGAAATGCTGAGCATGTTCTTCTCTTTTGGTTTTCTAACTCCAAGTCTTTGCACATTTCATTTTAATGCTCTGCCTTCTCAAGCTACTCTTTGAAATTTTCTGTTCAACTGCTTTACTTCCTCATTTTTTCCATTCACTTTAGCTTTTTACGTAGAAGAGCAAGTTTCAGACTATCTTCTAACATTCATTTTGGTCTTTTTTTTCTTTCCTTTCTTCCTGCCTTCTTAATAAGATGGTTGTCAGTCGTTAGAGTCTGATGCATGAAATCTGTTCTTGATATGGTCTCTAAACTCAGTTGGGGTATACTCGGTCATATTTGGGCTCTCATGGAATTGTTTGAATTTTCTTCAGCCTCAGCTTAAACTTTAATATGAATAATTTATGGTTTGTTCCACAGTCGGCCCCTGACCTTGTTTTGACTAATGAGCATCTCCACTTTCTCTTTCTTTTCTCACAAATATGTTCCTGTATATTCCAGCTGGTTTAGTCCATGTGTATAGTTGCCTCTGGTTGTTAAAAAAGGGTATTTGCAGGAATAAGTCATTGGTATTGCAAAATTCTGTCACCAAGGTCATATTTTCCATCTCCTGATCCGTCCTCTTTGTTTCCAACCTTTACATTCCAATCACCAGTAATTATCAACACATCTTGATTGCATATTTGGTCAATTTCAGACTGAAGAAATTGGTAGAATTTTTTAATTTCATCATCACATGCTTTAATGGTTGGTGCATAAATTTTACTAACAGTGGCATGAACTAGTCTTTCTTGTAGATGTGTAAATATCCTATTATGGGCAGCATTGTAGCTCAAAATAAAGTTTGAAATGTACTGTTTTATGATAAGTGAGACTCCATTCCTCTTTGATTTCAAGTTTTAGACTTAGTAAGCCATATTATTGTCTGATTCAAAATGGCCAATACAAATCCCATTTCAGCTCACTAATGCCTAGGATATTGCTCTTTATGTGTTCCATTTCATTTTTGACAACTTCTAATTTTCCTAGGTTCATACCTCATACATTGTATGTTTCAGTTGTTAATGGATGTTTGCAGTTATTTTTTTCCCATTTTGAGTTGTGTCTCATCAGCTAATGAAAGTCTCAAAAGCTTTGCACCATTCATTTCATTAAGGCCAGTTCTACTTTGAGGAGACAGCTCTTCCTCAGTCATATCTTGTGTGCCTTCCAACCTAAGGGGCTCATCTTCTGACACCATATGCAACAGTGTTCTACTGTTATTTATAAGGTTTTCAGTGGTTAATCATTCAGAAGTGGTCTGCCTTTCCTTCTTCCTAGTCCATGTTAGAAGCTCTCCTGAATCCTTTCCACCAGGGGTGATTCTTCTGGTTTAAAAATACCTGTGACGTAGTTTCCGGCATCACATCAACATACAACAGTATGACAAACTGACAGATGAGTGGTGGATTTAGGGAACCAGGGGAAAATATTTCAGACCTGAGGTCTTTCCATTATTGGTGCCATACCCTAATGTAGATACAGTCAGGTTTTTCCTTCAGGTCAAGAGAGGAACCAGAAACTGTGATTTCCTTTCTCCTCGTTTTTGTTTGGGATAATTCTGTGACAATCCAGTGTTTTTTGTTTTGTTTTGTTTTATTTGATTTTATGTCATTAAGCCATGACTGATAAGAAATGATCTGGGATCCTCTTTCATGTCTTCCCAAGGAATCTATGATCGAAGTGAGCTCAAACCAAACTCACTGCAAAGTCAGGTATTGTTCCTTTTAAGGGACTTTCTTACCCTCTATTTAGGGTCTCAGTAGGAAATTTATATTTGTGATGATAGCTGATATGTAAGTAATCTTTGAAACTAGAATAATTTTTTCACTGTTTCTTTAAATTTTCAAAAGCATATTATTAATATTTTAGAAAATATTGGTAAAGGTAAGAGGAATCATTACCATGCTAATGGTTTACTAGTTCTGATCTATCCTGCTTTTCTCCACTTTCTGGTTCCATTTCTATAGAGCTACTCTGTAGTAGCAAAAAGTTTTAGACTGAAGGGAGGAGGAGCAGTTCATTGACTCAATGAAGAAATGTTGATGGTGTCTGCTGAGAGATGATGTCAGAGGGTTGGGTTTGTGACTTGTTATTCCCTTTCTCTTGTTTCCCCACAGCTGTTTTTCAGAGTGACAGATGACCGGGCCAAGCAGTCTGAACTGTATTTAGTAGGAATGATCTGTTACTATGGCAAACATTATTCCACATTCTTTCTGCAAACAAAAATCCGCAAGTGGATGTATTTTGATGATGCTCATGTTAAGGAGGTAGGCATAGTCAAATATTTCTTCTTTTTAATAAAATTTTTCTTGTTTCTGTTGAGAATATGAATTGTAAAACGTACAGTAACTCAGCGATTTCTACATGTACCACTTAGTGACTCTGATAGCAGTCTTCAAGTTGTGTAACCATCCTCATCCGCCATTTTATAAGTGCTTCTTAAACTGTTGGTTACTGCATAAAAAGCAAAACAAAACGAAACAAAACCCATAAAACAAAGCCCACAGACAATAAAAATTAGATGAATTGTCTTTAGTATTTCATTTTCTTAATACTTCTTTCCCGCCACCATGCCCTTCTGTAAGACATGCTTTATATTTTATCTGTGTATCTATTTATTAGATAGGGAGCCCTGCTGGCATAGTGGGTTATACATTGGATTGCTAACTGCAAGGTCAGCAGTTCCAATCCGCCAGCTACTCTTGGGAGAAAGATGAGGCTTTCTGCTCCTACAAAGATTTTAAAACTCAGAAACCCTATACAGGGTCTCTGAGTCAGAACCGACTTGATGGCACCCAACTGTGTGATAGATAAAATAGAAACTATGTCTATCAGATAGAACAGTCATGTCTTTCCAAATAGATGGTCAGATTCTTGAGAATATAATCAATATATATACCAATTTCAAGTCCTCATGTGGCACTATAGGATAAAGCATGGGACTGCTAACCGTGAGGTTAGCTGTTCAAACGCACCAGCTGCTCTTTGGAAACCCTGTATAGGGGCTCTATGAGTCAGAGCCAATGCAATGGCACTTAACAACAACAACTACAACACAAAAACCCTTTGCTCTCAAGCCAATTCTGAGTCATAGTGCTCCTAGTGGACAGAGTAGAATGGTTCCATACAGTTTCCAAGTCTGTGAATGTTTCCAGAAGCTGACTGCGTCATCATTCTCCCACAGAACTCTCCCAGGGAGAGCTGGTGAATTTGAACTGTTGCCTTTTCAGTTAGCAGTCATTCATTGCTTAACCCACCTTGCCATAAGGACGCCATATAATTTATCTTCTATCATTTTCTTTGAATCTCGTCACCAAGCATTTAGTACAGTTTTAATTTATTATAGCCAGTATTTCAAATTTTTGATTGATTTGGGTGGGAATAATCTAATGCCTCAAATAAAGTTATGAAGTTCAGAATTCTAAGTCTCAGAATTATCAATGGATAATACTTTGTCTCCGAACTGCTATAAATTAATCTCTAATTATTATCTTCATGAAGTGTCCTATCAGAGTTAAATACCTTTTTTGGGATAAGATAGGAAATATAGCACTCTAATGGTATGTAGGAATCCTGGTGTGGCGCTGTGGGTTAATGCGCTGAACTGCAAAGCCACTTTGAACCACAAGGCTCACCAGCTGCTCCTCGGAAACACTATACAGGGTCGCTGTGGGTCGGAACCAACTCAACAGCACTTAACAACAACAACAACAGTGGTATGTGGTAGAGTCCTGGTGTGGCACTGTAGGTAAGCACTAGACTGCAAGTCATTTTGGACTACAAGATCAGTTCTTCAAACCCACCTGTTACTCCTTGGAAACCCTAGAAGTCACTACTGACTTGGTGGCACTTAACAATAACAACAACAATGGTATGTAAAGTAGGGAACTTGGTACTGTGTAAACCACACAGTCTACGATGGAAGAAGTTCACGAAGTATGTGTGCGTTGGCAAGCCCCTTCCAGTAAGGTTATCACTTCGGGAGGTGCAGGCTGCTGACTAACCACGGATCACAGGCACTGGTTTCCACTGATGGTAATCTTTGCCAAACTCCCTGGTTTTCATCTTCATCTCTGGTGTTTTTGTAATTTGGGGCAACTTATTTAAATTCTCTGAACTTTAGATTTTTTATATTTGAAAAAGAATACCCATCTTGTTGTTGTTGAGTGCCATCAAGTTGGTTCAGATTCACAGTGACCCTGTATAAGGTTTCCAAGAGCAGCTAGTGAATTTGAACCGCCAACCTTGCGGTTATCAGTCTAGTGCTTATCCTACAGCACCACACCAGGGCTCCTATTTTACATAAGATTTGTATGTGAAAAACATATGAATGTGTTGTAATTACAATAATGCTAACTTATAATTTTACTGAGCCTCCAAGGTACACCAAACACCATGCTAGTTGTCACACCATATAAGATTATGACTGGGTCACTGGTCCGTTGGCATGTACATTGTTTTTGTCTTTGACCCATTTAAGACTTAATTAAAAAAAAGAACGGGGCTAGTTCTAGCCTAAGACAGAGTGGGTTTGGTGATTTGATTGGATTGCTGTTTCAGTGATTATTCTGTCATTCTTTTCCATGGCAGAAGCAAAGTTAAATCCAGCAAAATGCTAAGATCAAACTGTATTCTGAGCAGTGTGACATTTTATGTCCTGCCAGGCATGAATTCTGAAACAGAGTGTCCTTTGCTCTAAGGCAATCTATCTACTTTTAGTTCCAGAAAAGTGATTTTAATGTTTAGGAGAAAATGATAGAAAAGTGAATTTCAAACGCGGGCTTTAATCTGATATCTGTGGAAAGAAATTGGACACCAAGACAGCCAATGTCCCCTGTCATAACACATTCACCTTTGAAATATTTATCCATATTTCACAACTCGATGGATGTTTCACAGAAATAAAAATAACTTCGTTCTTCCATTTTCGTGTAAGATTTTGATACTTTCTAAAAGGATTTAACAAAAACCTCCTTAAGTTTAGGTCTTGTACCTCTTTTATTGTCTCTTCACTCAATTCCTGGCCTATGTGATGTTCTTCAGGGAGAAAAAAACAAAAACAAATCAAGAAGTCATGTTTTGAATGAAGTGTAAGTATAATGTTCTTTTGGTTGTTTGTGGTTCAGATTGGGCCCAAATGGAAGGATGTGGTGACCAAATGCATCAAGGGGCATTATCAGCCTTTGCTGTTGCTTTATGCAGACCCCCAGGGCACCCCGGTGTCCACCCAAGACCTGCCTCCCCAAGTTGAGTTCCAGTCATACAGCAGGACATGCTATGATAGTGAAGACTCTGGTAAGCAGCCCAGCTCTCTACCTATCACCCACCATATACCATGGGAGCACTCAATGGTTGAGACTCAATATGAGCCTGGCACATAGCCTAGCCTAGAGAAGGAAGTCATTAGAGATAAAGAACTAAGTGTTAGCGCCTGCTAGATTCTCAGTTGTCCCACACTTTGTTTCTTTCTACTTTTAAGAGTGTGTTGTCTTAATCACATGGGCCCCCAAGTCAAAAGTGAGATGGGAAATTTGAATGTAAACTGAGATACGAAGTTTGTAAAGGAGGCCTTAGTAGTTAACCTTATAACAGTGGAGAGATGACTGGTTCTTATACCCCTTTCTCAGTGACTTAAGTGAACCAAGAACAATGATTTGGAGTTCTTATAAAGGTAGTCAGTTTGTTTGAGATGAGCATTTTGTGTTTTAAAATTCCAAGTACAGTAAAGAGAGACCTCTGTTATCAACGAATTAGTTCACTTCTAGATCAATTGTTTTGAAACTTAAACCATATTTTCCTAAAAAAAAAAAAAAAAAAAATTCAGCTTTGTAGCTAAGTCCCAGTATAATCCACAGAAGCTCATAATACATCTTCAGTCCTGATGTGGCATTGTGGGCTAATGCGCTAGACTGCAAAGTCAATTTGAACTGTAAGGTCAGCAGTTCATCAGTCGCTCCTCAGAAATCCTATACAGGGTCGCTATGGGTTGGAAATGACTTGGCGGCACTTAACAATATCAAAATAATCCAAATAGTTTAGCCTTGGTTTCTGAAAAGGAGGAAGAAATGTTCCTTTTCCTTTCTTGGATGTTGAAAGAGGAGATCCTTTCTTTGAAGTCTTTCTTCCACCCTCCTGCTTGGTACCTGATACTCTTCCCACTCTCGTACCTAATCATTACTGACTGACTTTTCCCTTCAGCCAGACACCCATTTCTCCCGTTGTACTTATCTCAGCTAGTTGTCCGACTGAACTAATTGACGTTATTGTTGGTAGGGGTCCTGGTGTGATGCTGTAGGATAAGCACTGGACTGCTAACCGCAAGGTCAGCTAAACGTTCAGAGGAAAGCAATGCCTACTGAACTAATTCACACTGGAGTATAAATGACAGCCCATAGTTTCTCAACTATTAAAGTGTGTATATATATATATATATGTAAATTTAACATTTAAAATGGCGTTTCTGATAGCCTAGGGGAACAACTGTTTACTTGTGCCACATTAGCCTGGGACTGACCATCTAAATAGATGTTACTTTTCACAACGGTTTCCTTTCTTCCACTCCCCTCCCCCTCTTAGGTTTTCTAAAAGCCCCACAGGTTTCAGAGTGGCAGGCAAAGTGAGTGCTTGCTTCAGAAAGGTAGGGACAGAGGTGGGAAGAAATGTTCGTGTGTCTGGGCTATCTGGAAACTGGGGGTTGGGGAAGAATGGCCCGATAATGTGCACACAAACCTCTCCACCTTCCTTCTAGGATGGTCTCGCCTTTTGGACCTTTGCTGCTGTCCTGCTCTTTTCCTTTCTCTCTGCTGGCCTCACTTTCCTCACTGGTGCATCTGTGTCTCCTCCTTCCCTCAGGGAGGGAGCCTTCCATCTCAAGTGACACTCGAACAGATTCCTCAACGGAGAGCTATCCCTACAAACACTCCCATCATGAGTCTGTGGTCAGTCACTTCTCTTCTGATTCTCAGGGGACAGTCATCTATAATGTGGAGAATGATTCCATGTCTCAGAGCAGTCGAGACACAGGTAGGGGCTGATACAAAGGATCCGGGTTGCCTAATTTACTTCCTTTATAGAGGGTCTCTCAAGAAAAAAAACTGGGACAAGTCAGAAGTGGTTGCTATGTATGCAAAGGGGAAAAAAGGCACAAAATTTGGATATTTGAGTGGGATCCAATGATACAACACAGTTCTGAATGAATGATGATGTTCCGTTGTACAGATTCTGGGCAACAGAAGCATGTCAATAAGGACTACTGTCATTGTCATTGTTATAAATAATATCATGTTTATTCTTAAGTCACCTCTTCTCCTGCTACCCTTTTGATCCTTATCCTTCCAATAGTGTGCCCCACTAACAACCCCTTGTGTCTGCACCTTGGCATGTTTTTATTCTAGGCTTCATCTTGATTAAAGGACTTTGAAAGAAGGAGTGTATTTAGGGGCTAGGGCATATTTTGGGCAAGCTCAGCAGCTTGCCAGGGTCCTGAAGACCAGAGAATGAATACAGAGTGAATATAGGTAGCCTGTTTGTTTTTCCGAATCCTCCATAGAGAACATTCTTGAATTGTTTTGTTACTCTATAGGAGAATGTGCCACGGTCAGTAGAAGAAATCTGTGCAGGGCATCAAGAGAACAGGAGTAAGGTGACTGCAAAGATGACAGATTCATTATGGGATAAAATACAGCTCATGGTATCATACTGATGATGTAAATTCTGTATGTGGCCTTTTTTTTTTTTTTTTAATAGAGAATTTTTATATTCAAAAGTATGCAGAATAATAAAAAGCCGCTTCATGTATCCATCACATAATTTTAACAATTATAACTCAGGTTAATGCCGTTTCACCTGCATCTCTACTCCCTTCCCCCCTTCCCAGACATCATGTAATTTCATCCATAAGAGTCATAGTGTTTTGTTTTAATGGTTTGTGTACTTAACTCAGAATCCAGAAGAGGTCTTCACTTTGCAATGGGTCAGAGTTTTTTCTGTTTCTCTTCATCAGTAGGTTTCTCCTTTAGCTAAGTATTTCCCTTACAGATCATTATTGAAGAAATAAGGTAGTTTGTCCTGTAGATTCCCCACAGTATAAATTTTGTTGATTGCATCCCATGGTGTAACATGTTTCTGAGGTATTTTTTTGTAAACTTGTAGTTGGATGTTGACGTTTGGTTAGAGTCATGTTAGATTTTTTGCAAGTTTGGCATTTCAAACTCACTAGCTGCTGCTCAGAAACTCTATACAGGATTGCTATGAGTTGGAACCGACTCGATGACACTTAACCACAACAACTGCCTAAATGGAGTCCTGGTGTGGGTCTGTAGGATAAGCACTGGACTACTAACTGCAAGGTCAGTGATTCAAACCCACCACTCGTTGGCACTCAACAACTACAACAAAAACTGTATAGATAAGGAGTGCTGGCAGCCTAGTGGATTTTGAGCTGGGGTGCTAACCAAAGTCACTAGTTTGATTCTACCAGCTGCTTTGTGAGAGAAACAGAAATTGTATACAGGGTCACTATAATTTGGAACTGACACCGTGGCACATAACCATCACCACTTCATACATGATGTTAGGTGTGGTTTTTAGACCATATCTCTGAAACTGTGACCCAGGGAGAATCCAAGCCACAGTATAAACAAGGCATATTTTCAAGGAGAGCCAGAATTATGTTAAGAGTTTGTATATAGTCAGTATAACATTTGTAATATTTAATTGGCCCAATGATTTCCTCCTTTTTCAGATCTTTCTAGTGGGCCTAAAAGTGGCAAAGGGATCAGAGCTATGCAATGAATGAACTGATTGAAAGTATGTATTCATATCACTACTTTGCTGACACCTGGTTATGTAAAAGGCTCTTCATATACTAACATATGAAAGCTCCATTTGAGAATCTAAAGGGGTGCCTTCTAAGATTGTCTTGTAACTTAATCCAGCTGCTCAATTTGCCTCTGGTTTCCAGCAGTTTAGATGATTTATATACTTTGGAATCTGCTTCCTTATTGGGAAATATTGGCCTTGGTTGTTATCAAATCCTACTCATACGCTCACATAATTTGGGCATGAAGCAGAGCAAATTACATACTCGGAAATTAACGAAGGTCTCCTGAGTTCCCCAGTGATCAGCCAGTTCCTGCCAAGTCAGTTCCAACTCATGGTGACCACCCCATGTGTGTCATTGTAGAATTGTGTTCCGTAAGGTTTTCAGTGGCTGGTTTTTAAAAAGTAATCTCCAGGCGTTTCTTCAGCGGCTGATTAACATCTGAGTGCATTAACCATTTGCATCACCCAGGTACTCCTGGGGGTTAGTATTGAGGAAATTGTGAAGTGTAATTTCTGGATGGAGCTGAGTTTGGTAAACATGTGTTGGGAGTAGGAATGTGAATTACTCAAAGTTGTACTGTCCTTTCAAAAGACCCACATTTAATGACGATTTAGAACTGGGCCTTAAGGCCCTACACAATCAGACCTGTTGTGGGCAAAAACTGAGGCATCTAGGTAATAGCAGATATACCAAAACCTAAGCTTTGTGTGGCATATGTAAATTTACTTAGCATATGTAATTGCTGAAGTATTTAACTGAAGTAAAATGAAAGCTCTGTCTTGAGTTTACCGGAGTGAAAATATATGGGGTATGTGATTTTTATACAACTTTTATACAGTTTATACAACCTTTATATTTCTTACCTTTTGAAAATTACCAACTAATATGTCCTTAGTCCCTTCTAGGTCACTGGAAAAGATTATGGGCTGGATTGAGATGGTTTAATGCTCAGGAGACAATTGTAAAACTGGCTTCTCTGCATGTACCTACTGAAAGCTTCCTGCTAAACTTCAATCAGATAGCCTAACCCAACTTCAGCTTCTGACCACAGATACACAAACTGTGTGCCACTGTCATGGATTCCCAAAGGGACGCTGTGTTCCCAAGAGGCTAGAGGTCAGTCACAGATACCAGCTTACCTCCATTTCCTTATTTTTTTCAGGACACCTGACTGATAGTGAATGTAATCAGAAACACACATCCAAGAAAGGGTCACTGATAGAGCGCAAGAGGAGCTCTGGCCGGGTTAGGAAGAAAGGCGATGAGCCACAGGCCTCCGGGTACCACAGCGAAGGCAAGCCTCTCTACATTGTACTTCTTTCTCTAGTCCCTGTATCATGTTTCTGTCATGCTCTCAGATCATGGCATCTCCTTTTTGCTCAAAGGGGCTTAGCCTTGCATTCTAGACTTCGGACCCTGGATATCTGTGATCACTTTAAACATCTATATTTGTCTCATTGTGTGCTTTTAGGAGAAACACTGAAAGAGAAGCAGGCTCCGAGGAATGCCTCTAAACCATCCAGCAGCACCAATAGGCTGAGGGACTTTAAAGAGACAGTCAGTAATATGATTCATAACAGGCCATCTGTTGCTTCTCAGACCAACCTAGGATCTCCCTGTGGGGGCAGGGGAGGAGACCAGCTGGAAAAAAAACCTCCTAGGATCCTGTCCTTGCACTCTCAGGACTGGGAAGTAGAGAGTACCAGCAGTGAGTCAAAATCTAGTTCTTCTAGCAAGTATCGTCCAACGTGGAGACCAAAACGGGAGTCTCTGAATATTGACAGTATCTTTAGTAAGGACAAAAGGAAGCATTCTGGCTATACCCAGCTTAGCCCCTTTTCTGAGGATGCAGGTGAGGGGATAATTAGGGAACAATTGGGCTTTCAAATAAAGTTGATTTTTGTATTTAAAATCTGGGTTTTCTGATAGTATTGGCAAGGTTCGTTTTTTACTCAGATGTTGGGCATTTTGTGGGTTTGATGGATGAGTAGCTGGAGGGAGAGGTGTTCTCTTTATTTTACACAGATACTAAATCTACCTCTTTTTCCATATTTGTCCTTTGATTGGGATAGCTAAAGAATTTACACCGGATGAACTTAGCAAGCCACCTGCTTATGACAGTAAAGCTGGTGGACCCAGTCCCCGATATAAGCCCTGGGGCCCAGCACGTCCAGGCTCTCACCTTTTAGAGCAGCACCCTCGCCTGATCCAGCGAATGGAATCTGGCTATGAGAGCAGTGAGAGGAACAGCAGCAGCCCTGTCAGCCTGGATGCCACTCTGCCTGAAAACTTGAATGCCTGCAGGTATTGTTTGGCCATTGAATACAGGCCTTTTCCTTTGCAGCAATGTAAACCACCTTTTTGCAACTTTTCAAGAAGGCTCAGATGAGGAGAGAGGTGGACTTTGTTACCACCTTGTGGACAAAGCAAAGCACTGCATAGCCACAGTACCCTCTGGTGGCAGGAAGAGCAAAGGCATTTGAGACAGGAGAGCTCTATTGCTTTGTAAGTGCTGTGGCGTAGCAGGATAACGCACTGAACTGAAAGATGGATTTGAACTCCAAAGTTGGCAGTTCAAATCTATCAGCCGCTCCTCGGAAACCCTATACAAGGTTGCTATGAGTCTAACTGACTCTACAGCACTTAACAACAATATATAGTTATTTAGTAACTTTTAATGAAAAGAGCCCTGGTATGCTGCTGTAGGATAAGCACTGGATTGCTAACACAAGGTCAGTGGTTCAAGCCCACAGCCACTCCTGGGAAACCCTATCTGGGGTCACTATGAGTCGGCACCAACTTGATGGCACTTAACAACAACAATGAAAGAATGAATTAGTTAATCAAAATTTATGTATCCCAAGAAACCCTATTGTTACTTATCTTGCCTTCCATCTTGGGAATTTGTTTTGTTTTGTCTTTTTTAAGTCACTGGGATCCAGTGCTTTATGAAACCAGTTGCATCATAAGTTAGTGGTGATAGTTCAGTAGTATGTACTGCATCCTGCTCATAGAGCACAGTGCACTCCGTAAGTTCCACATCTCCATACATTGTTTTTATTGACTTGCCAGAGAGACAAATTTTCTGCTGTCTTCCTGTTCTCCATTGCTCTTCCCTGACCACAGGACCCTATTCAGTTGTTTTTAAAGTTTTTATTGTGAATTGAGTGATAGTTTATATGGGAGAACATCGGTTTTACACTCATCGTTTCATTACAATGATTGCAATCCTCTCCGTGCATCATCTTTCAACAGTATGTGTTTCTATTAACTCTGGGGTTTTTTTTGTTTTGTTTTATTTTTTAAATGTACACAAAAACACTCAGGAATATATAATCATTTAAACACCCAACCAAAGGGCATATTCTGCAAGCCTGCCTCTTGGCTGCCAGCACACAGCCTTGCTCTTACCATGAGTCTGGAGTCCTCAGTTGCTGTATCTCTCCCCTATTCAGTTTTTATCATGAGAAGATGCTATAAAGCTGTAATAAAGGGAGGCAGTTCATATGATAGCATATGTTCAGTATACATTAATTCATTCAGTACATTTGAATACTGTATGCCAGACACTGTGTTAGATGCACAAGGTGATAAGGCATGAGCATGAGTAGATATTTCAATCTTACAGAAGTAGTTTAGTAGAATCTTTAATTATATTAGTTGGATGTTTTCTTGTGTTTTTTTGAGGGAATTTAGTCCTAGGATTCTTGCCAGTTGTCACCCTTCTCATGCTTTCATTAGCCTCTGGGTTTTCTTTTGAAGGGATCCAAGTGCTAAGAGATCAGGTGGGTTGGTCCCTGCTTGGAATCACATCCCAAAGTCTCATAGCAGTAGCGTCCTGGAGGTGGACGCCACAGCATCCAGGAGTAGCTGGACAAAGAGTCATCCTGTCTCAGGTAAGCAGAAGAACGTTAGATTTGATGGATTGGATTTGACCTTCAGTTTTATTTGGAAAAGAGACTCATTTATGCACATCTACAATTGAGTTTTCATTCAGAATGTAAATATAGAGACATCTTAGCTATTCTTCTGTCTTTGGATTTATCACTGTTTTGTCTCCATCTCAGCTTGCCCAACTGGGAGGAGTAGCAAGGGACAAAAAGATGGCACACAGTATCTCTGTTCCTCAAAAGAAAGCTTTTACATAGGGTTTTCCTTGGTGTAATGGCAGCCTCTGAGTAATTGGCTTTCTTAATAGTTAATTAGTACTGTAAAGTGAGATATCAAGAGAATGTGTAGCTTGTAGGCAACACAGAGAAATAAGCCAATCAAACCTCCCCGTACCTCTGTATGATATCCTTGTTTCTGGATTGTTGGGTTTTGTTTTTTTGTCCTCATATACCTTTTCCTCAGAACAAACTCACAAGGAATGATCTAACTCCTTCATAGTAATTGTAAGCGACTGAAAATAGTCTCCGCTATAATGTCTCCAAGGAAAATTAGCATTTTTAAAACCTGAAACTAAAAGAGTAATGCAATTCATTACCACATGCAGAAAAACGAAATAGGATCCATGCCTCATACCATATACAAAAAAATAAAAATGAAAAATTGATTAAGGGGTCTGGAGCAAGATAGGAGAGTAGGCAGTCACACTGAGCTGACCGTCTGCAGCAAAGACACGGGAGACCAAGTGGAACAGACACACATGGTGATTCTGGAACTTTGAGCACTAGAGGTTAGAGCAGAGAGGTGGACTGAGTGCTGACTGGGAGAGGAAGCTGAACAGGAGCTGTGAGAGAGAAGAAAAACGGGGGTGGTGGGGGGTGGGGGACTGTGGGCTGGCGTGGAACGGTGAGCTTCTGCATCTTGAGCTTTTGTAAATGGTTGTTGATACGGTGGCCTACAGGCACAGAATGATGCTGGAGGTTGACAGCAAGGGGGTGCAGTTCTACCATTTCCCTTGCTCTCCTGATAGCCAGGAACATGGGCAGTTCTTGCAAAGGCCTACCCAACTGCCATTGCCCCCACCCCACCCCACTCCCTTGACCCCACACAGCCTCTGCTCTGTTTGAAGTTGGGCACCAAACATAGCTTCCCTGGTTTTGGAGGCATGTGAATCTGCTGTGAACTATGCTGCACAAACTGTGAACAGGGAACTGCATTCACACTTCTCATCTCTACCACATCTACCATGAAAGAGGTAGTGAGTGCCTGAGAGCATACCAATATATAATCATCAACTAAATATAAACATAACACCACAATGTCTCAGAGAAAACAAACAGTTTCAGCTTACACAAAGAAACAAGACAGAGTACCTCAAAAAGATAACAAAAATGCAGAGTCAGAATGTGAACACTGGAAATGGTATCAGAACTATTTGATAGGAACTTGAAAAGGTTGCTAATTAGGCAATTTCAGTGGATTGTGATAAAGACAAAGAAAACTACAGATGAAATCAAAGAAAACAGACAAAACTATGGAAAATGTTAAGAAACAAACTGACAAAATAATTGAAAAAATAAATGGGGACCCTACAAAATCAGCAATCAGAAACCCAGAAGGTTAACATTAAGACTTCAGAAATAGGTAATACATTGAAAAAGAACAAAGAAGCCGAATTGAATTAATGGAAGGCCGAATTACTGAGCTTATAGAAAAATCTCCAAACATTCATCTGTTAGAGGAAAAATCAGAAAAA